GTATGCTTTCCTTTTCATTCGAATTTCAAACGGAACATCTTTCAGAATTCTAATTGTCTGCTCTCCAATCTTCATAGGCGTTGATGAAGATACTTTTAATATTTGATCCCAAACTTTCTGCTTTGTAAACTTGACCACCACTTCTGCCGGCAGGTTATTCAACCTTGTAAAGTTGGAATAGGCTCTGTAAATCAGATCCATTTCCTCGCTTATTTTTTCCGCTTTCCAGCCGGTGAGTGTTGCCTAGGCTTCCGCTAAAATGCCTCGGAGATCTTCTCTTTCCTGTTCTTTTATGCCCTGAAATCGGAGAGTCAAATTTGATTTTTCCATTTGAAGCATCATTAACTTTTTGTCTTGCATCTTTTGGTGTTTTTCTACTTTATCAACCTTTTTCTTGAGCTTTTTAGTATCTTCTGTTGACCAAGCACTTTTGCGCGATTTCCTCCATTTTCTTGGCTGTATCGTTTAACTGAGTCTGCTGAGTATTGAGAACACCTTCCATATTTGTCAATGTTTGACTGATCTTTTGCATTTGTTCCAGCAGAGGGCGCAGAAGATCGCTCTCTTGTTGATTGACAGCTGGCTCCAAGAGGCAGGAGCTAGCACCGGAAGGTCCTCCCGTCTTCTTTGCCGGCTTGTCCTGAAACTTTTTCTGGCTCGACATCTTGGTTTTTTTGTTTACTTTTTTAAAGTTCGTGTCGCGCGGCTACAAAATAAGATTTCCTGTGTCTCTTCTAACAATTCGCCAAGAGGTAACACTGCCAATGTTCCTTCTAAGCTGAGTTAGTGTGAGCTAGCTCACAGTTTTTTAGCCTCCGGCTCACACATTTTTGTCTTAGCTCAGGAAGGACGGCTCCAGAGCAAACAAATTTATGCAGGAGCCAAATCGTTCGCTCACAACTTTAATGCCAGTAGCTCACAAAGTAGAATTTTTGCTCACAAGACTCCACAGCTTAGAGGGAACATTGAACACTGCTCCTTTCAATTTTCACTCCCCCCCCTCTCTTCCTTTTAAATCAGTCTTTGTTGCACGGGGTGGGGGGGGGATTCACCTCCCTTCTCCCTTGCGGTTTTTCGAAAAAGGGGGGGAACACGCTCGATTCTTTTTCTCCTGTTCCGACTGGCAACTCACAGTTTTAGCCGAGAATCTTCTTTTAAACGCTCATCCGCTTAATCACCCGGTGACGACCGGTGGCTCCGCTAGTCCCCGTGCGGGGCACTGCCGCGGCTAGGGCCATTGGGGCATGGGGCGAGGCTCAATTTCCGACCATTCGGCCGAGAAAGAGGCACATCCCCTGTGCACCCCAGATCGGAGCCCCTACCTGGGTCTCCTTGGGGTCTCCGATTGTGCGGATTCCCCCCCTTGGCCGCGCGTGGGCGAAACGACTCCGGGAGCGTCCCGAAGATGCGTCCGCCATTCGCAAAGTCCAAACCGGAAGCCAAGTTGTGTACATTTTCGAGGTTGGATATTTAGTCCTGTGAATGTTACTTACTTTTATCTTCCTTGTTACTTTTCCCTCCCTTGAGGGATGTTAGATGAATCTGGAAATTTACTCCTGTGAATGCTAGACACTTTTACCTTCCTTGTGGGATGTTAGATGAATCAGAATTGTAAACTATTACCACACAGTTGAATACTAGTAATTATTATTGGATAACATTGTATATATCCAATTATTATTGGATAACATTTATTGAATTTCTAGTGAATTGCTTGAAGTCTGCCTTATGGTATGTTTTTCTTTTGTTTGCCTGACTGGTCAGTTACTGTGGTCTCTTTTTGTCTCACTAACTGTTCAGATCAAGAATTTTAATTGTGCATTAGTGCACTCCTGGCAAGTACACTGTAGGGTTGGGAAAGGAATAGCAGCATGAATCTTTGCTGATGGCAGGAAAGAGTAGGAGCTCTCCTCTGTTCTGCCAGCTTTACTTTTTGAATCCAAGCTCAGTGTTTTCTCAGTAAATGCATGGTCCCAACCAGTGTTCCCTCTAAGCTGAGTGAGTGTGAGCTAGCTCACAGTTTTTTAGCCTTCGGCTCACACATTTCTGTCTTAGCTCAGGAAGGATGGCTCCAGAGCAAACTAATTTATGCAGCAGCCAAATTGCTCGCTGACAACTTTAATGCCAGTAGCTCACAAAGTAGAATTTTTGCTCACAAGACTCCACAGCTTAGAGGGAGCGTTGGTCCCAACCCAACCCTGATGGAGATCATCCGAGGGAGGGTTTGTGGGAACCAGGCACCCCCACCCATCATGCCTGGACCCGGCTCCAACTGAAGCGTCCCTCCCTGTAACTGTGATTGTTGAGGCCATTTGAGGGAGGGGAGGTAGCAAACAGGTACTGCGGTGTGTTTCTTCCCTGCTGTACCCTGTTCTTGCAGAGAACTCTCATTTGCTCTTACCCCTACATTTAGTGTCACTCCCCCCCCCCCCCGATGTTTGGCTTTACCTTTAAACTACCTCAAGAATGCTTGTGTTTGAAATCGATAATGCAAGGCTTTTGATACAATTCTTTGCACACCTATTTCAAAACCAGTTCTTGCTGATTTCAGTAAGGCTTCAAAAGCTTTGGAGAGGATTGCTGCCTTTGGAGCCAAGTCAGCATGTCTTCAGCGGAGCTTTAGATGCTGAGACTCTCATTCTCAGTCCTGTGGACAAATTGCCCGAGTTTTGCTGAATACAGAACTGCAGTTTATTTAGATGGATAGTCTACTTTTCTCCCTCAAAGAGTTTGACACCAGTTTCCTCTCCTTCATGTTGTTCTCACAACAACCCTTTGAGGCAGGCTAGGCCCAAGGTCACCTAGTGAATTTCCATGGCAGAGTGGAGATTCAAATCTGGGTCTCCTAGATCCTACACTAGGTCCAGCACTCTAACCACTATACTGCATGGCTCACTAGTATCCAGACTTCTAGGTTTCAGCTGAAGACAAAACACCTCAGCACAATAAGCAGCACTACAGCTGATGATGCTTTCCAGGGTGTGGATTCTCTGACCCACAGTTTGCAGAGTAGCTGAATTATTGTGGTGACATCTAGTCAGAGCATACACTGGATGATCAAGTGTGTCATAAGTGAACATTTTTGAGTCCACAGCAGAGTTCAGATACTACAACAGGCCTCCTCCCCCAGCTGTCTGGAGCAAGTCACTGTCTCAGACTGTAGTTTCCACATCTGGAAAATGGAAACGATAGGGCTGGCCGCCATAGGGTTTTTGTGGACTATGTGTTGGATTTTCCAGTCACAGGTGCATGCATTTATCTCATGAATTTTTCACAGAACTTATTTCTGGAAGATGGGAATACAGACTGGTGACAGCAAATCTGCTGGGGCCATTGCAATGTTAGACTACCACTGGAGAGACCTGAGCTTCTCACTGTACGTTTTCCTTGGGGGCATCCCTGGGTTGCTTGAGAGATCCCATGCTGTTTACCCAACCTGAAATGGCCTTGGGGAGTCACTGTTTGCCACATTGAGGCAAAGTAACACGTAGCTCCTCCGGGCTGATTCAGGTTGGAAAAATGGCAGTGGACAGGGGGAGGGGCTTCTAAGCTTTCTCTCCCTGTGTGCTTTGGTCCCAACCTGAATGAAGCCCCTCCATGTCTGAGGAGCTTGGAACACCAGAAGACATATCTCAGGCCTACCTGGGGACATCCCTGGGGAGAATGTAGTGTGTAGTTAAGCCCTGAGTTCAAACTGTATTCAGCTGTGGAGCTTCCAGAGTGATCTTGGGCCAGTTGCTCCTTCTCAGCCTAACCTACCACACAGGGTTGTGAAGATAAAAGGGAGGAGGAGAGAGCCAAATACACTGCCCTGAGCTCCTTGGAAGAGTCTCTTGATAAAAATGTGGCAACAGAAGATGTTTTATTTTCTGAGGGTTTGGTAGCTGCAGTCCATGCATCCCTACCTCACCCAGGAGCATCAGAGACTATTCTCCTCAGTTCTTCACTCTGCTCAATCCTTCTTCCTTTCACTGGAGTTCAGCTGCCATTTTGGTTGTCCCAGCAACAGGCAACCCAAAATGGTAACTGAGGTCTCATGACAGGAAGGGATCTTGAGAGGATATGACACAGGTAGCTTCTTTGATGTTTTTAAAGAGATATGAGGAAGCAAGGTGGTAAAGAGAATTATCTGGCTCTCTTGGGAGCAGGGTTGCTAGGCTGACAACTAGCGAGATGGTTAGGGTGCATGGGGGGTATGTTGGTGACGATACTTTCATCACTATGTCACTTCTGGTTACAACCTGGAAGTAACAATGGGTATCTCTAGGAATCTCCAGGGACTCTGCAGTTTTAACATAGAATTTCCAGTGATTCCTAGATCTACCCATTGTCACTTCCAGATTACACCTGAAAGTGATGTACTGGCATAGAAGCCAGCAGCGATTTTTCTTTCTTTAATTTTCTCCTACTAGTGCTCTGAGCAGCAGCGGGCAACAGAGAAGATCAGCAGGAGGCCTGGCAACACTACTTATGAGGGCAGCAGGTGGGCAGGAGGCTGGTGGATGGTGTGTGGTGATGGGCAGGATGAGAGTTTGTCTCACCTCCACATCCACCATCTAAGGCATCCAGGGACTTCATTATAGCACCAGCCCTGTTAGATAGATGATAGATAACATAGGGGACATCCTTCCTTGGAGATGCTGTGTGTGTGTGTGTGCGCGCATGCACACACATGTGTTAAAAAAATTATTCCATTCCCCCCCCCAAAAAAAACCCTCAAAAAAGCATAACCTGTCAATAGCGTATAATTCTTTCAACACTGACTGCTCAAGAAACAAGGAGAAGGTAACACAGTGCTGTTTTAAGGAAATATCAAAAAAGAGGGAAACCAGCAAAGAGAGGGGAACACACTGTCCTAAATACATTCTAGCATCTGTTGCTTTATTCTGCAGGACGGGTTGTGCCAATTCCAATAGTTACCCAAAATGCAGGGTTTTTGTTTTTTTAAACTGTTTATATATTAACCATTTTAATCTGAGCCTTGGCTTATCTCACCTCAGGAGCGACAAGAGACATTGGCTCAGCCCTGACCCGGATGTGTATGCGCCACCGTAGCATTGAAGCCAAACTGAGGCAATTTACCAAGTAAGTTATATTTTAGTTATGTTTGAGTGTGTTTGCTTGCCTGAGGCTCCTCTTTCTGAGGGGGAACTGTAGTGGGAAGGTGCCCAGTTTATGTTGACAGAGACTGATTGTTGTCCAGTGAATGGAGAGTAGGTCTTGGATGTGGGAAATTTAGCCAAGGACTCGCTGTGTGTGGTTTGGGCCAATCACACACTGCCCACCTCCACCACACTCGGAAGTTGTGTTTTGTTTATTTATTTGCTTGCTTCATTCATAGTCCCCCTTTCTCTGCTGAGACTCAAGGCCAATGTGGGCCTTGACTTAAAGTGTATGCTCTCTGAGAGTAGGGTGAGGGGAAAGAATGGTGGGATTCAGGCCTCCAGGCTTTGTGAAGCATCTGCATTAAGTGTCCCTTTATGAGGGGTCCCCTCTGGTGGTGGAGGGGTCCATGTCTGCTGGATCCTAGCCCAAGAATGCATCTGATCTAGCCTTTCATATTGGTTACCCATTTGGAATAGTAGAGTTCAGGCTCGGGGGCTAGTCCACAAGTTATAAAGTCTGTGGGTTGGATCCAGACTAAATTTTCTGCTCCCTTCCCCCTCTATTGCAGACCGTTGATCTATGCAAAAAAATGCTGCTCCTGGGGGACAGGGGACCCTCAGGAATGCCATGGGAGAAAAGCAGACGTCTGCAGCAGGAAATTGATGATGATTACCCCACCGCTTCCATTAGCAGAATATTGACTCTGGTTCCAGCCCTGTTTGTCAGGGCATACTTCAGGAGTTCCTTATTTGGAACTTGATTCCCAAACACACAGGAGACTGGTTTGGATTGAGACTGCTACGCACGGCGAGAATGGGACACACTTTCGCCCTCCCATGCACCATTTAGGTCGGGGAAATGGTACAAGAGGAAGACTTAAGCCCCCACCTCTTCCTGTAGTCCCCAGTCTGAATTGGGCCCCCAGGAATCAAGCACCCAGCATGGAACTCCCAGAGTATGTCTGTTAATGGGGGCTCATGGGGGAATATGAGGATTTTGTAATGTGTGAATTGGCCCCACATTTGGCCTTTGTGAGGCAGCCGCACTGTCACGAAAACCACTGTAATCCTAAATGTGAGCTGAAGTATTACCATGGGGCTCTCAAATGGAACATGTTAGATACTTGTAGAGAGAGAGATAGGGATAGATAAGATTTATTGCAGTCAAAGACCATAATACAACCAATACAGCTAATATAACAGCTATCAAAGCAATTATAAAATAATATGTCTTGTATGACAATATAAATTAAAAACATTAAAACACTAAAATATTTACAAATTCCAATACAGATCAAGTAAAAATTAAATTTAACCGGTTAATTGTGGTCCAAACAACTAGAGTTTGTTAGATACTTGTATTTGAGGCCAGACTGCAAAGTGGTGTTCTGTTTGTCAGAGAAGTTAGTACAGGGGAGATGGTCTGTGTCCCAGAATCTAGCGCAGTAATAAAAGAGACCTCAAAAAGACAGAAGTAGGACAGGTCTTCATCCTCTGGTGAGTAGAGACTTAGAGCAGCAGGGATCAAGGTTTGTCTGCCTGCGAGTGAGAACCATGAAGACCTCAAAAAGAGCAGATACTCTGAAGCATGTTAAAAATTGGAAAGTTCTGGATTTGAGTAAGTAATCCAGCAGTTGCTTCTGACGTTTGTTTAAGCTTCGTGGAGGCCTTAGGTCTGAAATGCATCTCCTCCCCAAATTCCCTCCACATCCTGGTTGTGGGCAGTTATTACCTTATTTTATACATAATTTTCATTACAATCTATACTCAAGTTTAAAGAATCACTCCAGTGTAGGGCTCCAGGAGAAACCAGAGCATTTGCTCCCTGAGTGCCAGCCCTCAGGTGGAAGCGGAGGATTCCCTCAATTTATGGGCTTCAGCCTGCCGCCAGGCTGGTTTTTGTTTTTAAACCAACCTCCACATCCCCACACTTCTCCCTGTCAGCGCTTCTGACTTTTCTCCTTGTTATCTCTCCTTGCTCCAGTGCCCTAATGGAGAGCCTGATTAATCCTCTGCAGGACAGGATAGAGGACTGGAAGAAAACCGCTAACCAGCTTGACAAAGACCATGCAAAAGGTAACCTCTCAGGAACAGACCTGCCCCAGCAGTGCCTGAACCGTATGGTACATGAGCTGCCCAGGTGGCACCCCACAGCTCAGAGGCAGACAATGATGCGAGCTGTGGCTGAGTGGTAAGGTGTCTACCTTGCTGGCAAAATGTCCCAGGTTCAATTCCTGACATCTCCGGTTAAAGGATCAGGTAGCAAGTGCTGCTGACAGAGTAGACAATACTCAGCCTTATGGACCAGGAGTCTGACTCAGTATAAGCAAGCTTCCTACAGTCAAGTGAGACAGCCGGGGCCACAATCTTGGAGGGTGGTTGAACACTGGAAAGATGTTCTGGGAGTGTATCAAAGGAGGGATGTATGGATGTATGCTCCTTGGGGCAGGGCCCCTGTCTTTCTTGCTTATGCATGCAGACTGTGCTAAGTGGTTATAAAAACTTCCATCGGCAAAGAGAAGCTGCAGGAGTCTTATAATCTACTCGGAAGAAGAGAAACAAATGCCTAAAGTGGAGGTCCCCCACGTGGTGCCCATGGTGCTTTGAACTTCATTTCGATACAAGATCAGCTCTGAAAAACCAGCAAATAGTGACATGCATGCAGTGCGGCAAATGTAAAACAATGAACACAGATTAAGAAGGGGGACAATAAAGAGCCAGTTTGGTGTAGTGGTTAAGTGCACGGACCGTAATCTGGGAGAACCGGGTTTGATTCCCCACTCCTCCACTTGCACCTGCTGGATGACCTTGGGCAAGCCGTAGGTCTGGCACAGCTGTTCTAGAAAAAGAGCAGTTTCCGTCAGATCTCTCTCAGCCCCACCTACCTCACAGGGTGTCTGTTGTGGGGAGGGGAAGGGAAAGGAGTTTCTAAGCCACTCTGACACTCCCTTGGGTAGTGGGGGGGGGGGTATAAATCCAATCTCTTCTTCTCTTCTTCTTCTCTTAAAACCCTCCTCCAACAGACAGGCAGCGTTACTGGGATGCAACCAGCCACTTGCGTATTCCGCACACCCATAGTGCTATGGAGGTCCACTGACACATTTCCTGGCACCCATCAAGTGTTTTTAGAAAGTTGGAGGGGCTCTTCTCTCAGCCACCTATTATTAACAATTAATCTTGTATGGCAGTGGATGTAGTATAACCAGGAGATCCAAAGATTGTCTGGCACCCTGAAACTCGCTTTTTTTGTGGTGACCTAGGTTTGTTTTGGGGGGGCTGAGAGAACTGTGACTGACTCAAGGTCACCCAGCCAGCTTCAAGTGGAGGAGGGGTGGGGAATCCAACCTGGTTCTTCCAATCAGAGTCAGCAGCTCTTAATCACTATACCAAGCTGGGTCTCTGCTGCTGCCACCATGGTGTTGTTTTATTCTCTCACTCCTTTTCCCCAGTGGTTTGTTGCCAACATTGACAATTGAATCAAATGCTACATTTCAGTTAGACGTTAGTGAAAATAAAGATGTAATTCCCACCCACCCCCCAAGTTCATGGACCCCCTGAAATCTATCCATGGACCCCAGGTTAAGAACCCCTGCTCTAAGGTATGTGTTGATAATGGTAACTTCATAATGGAGTCCTGTGAGAAAACATTCTACTTTGTGAGCTACTGGCATGAAGTTGTGAGCGAGCGATTTGGCTACTGGATAAATTAGTATGCTCTGGAGCCATCCTTCCTGAGCTAAGACAAAAATGTGTGAGCCAGAGGATAAAAAAATTTGAGCTAGCTCACACTAACTCAGTTTAGCGGGAACACTGGTTGCAACTATATGACTTTGGACATTTTGCTACCCTTGTAGTGTAGCAGCAGCACAAAGTTTGAGTGGCACCTTTAAGACCAACAAAGTTTTGCTCAAGGTCTAAGCTTTGGTGTGCATGCACATGTCTTCAGATACTGTAGCAGCCGACCACAAGCAGATTCTCTTGTGTGCACAGGAAAATCCAGTGGCAAATGATTGCTGTTGCACAAGAGTTAATGCAGTATCCAACAAAGTGTGGATGCAGCCACAGACTGGTTCCGTACTAGCTGTTTAGCCCAGAATTATTTTTATTAATCCAGACTGGTTCCAGTGAATCGAGGTGAAATTTCTGTCATACCCTTGCCAGCATATTCTAGTGTTTTCTTGTCTTCAGACCTCGTTTGTGATTAATTTTTTCAGTTTAAAATGTAGATCTGAAACCAAGCTGCCCCATGTAGACAGTCCAAGCTCTATCGTGTTTTTTTAGGTCTATTGCTAATCTTCCTTCCTTCCACTTAATTTATTACTTCTTGCTCCTCTCTGCTTCTTTATTGACATTCATGAACTATCTGTAAATTATTGATCTTAATCAGATCTCGGAAGCTGAGCAGGGCCGGCCCTTGCTAGTACTTGGATGGGAGACCTCCAAGGAATACCAGGGTCATGATGTGGAGACAGGCGATGGCACACCACCTCCAAACGTCACTTGCCTTGAAAACCCTACGGGGTCGCCATAAGTCAGCTCTGACTTGAAGGCACTTTCTTCCACCACCACAATGTGAGAGGGACATAAATACTTTTTAAAAATCTTTCTATACAGTGGAAGCCACTGCTGAGGTTTAATTTTGTTTCTCTGATAATGTTCTCATTGCACTGTCATGACCATAAACAATTTTTTAAAATCATGAACACTGATGTTGGCTGGCTACAACGAGCAAAGCAATACTTAGATGCGTACACGAGGCTAAAGCATTAATTGCACGCTATTGATTCAGGAGCAGACCAGTAGTCCCAGCCTGCCCTGAGGGAAGAGGAGGTCCAAAATTAAGCTAAAGATCCAGGAAACTTCTGGGATCTGATTTTTACCTGCTATTGTTATTTATTGTTTTACTGTTTTTATTGTTGTTGTTCTTATGTTGTGAGCTGCCCTAAGCCCATTTTGGGGGGTAGGTCGGGGTATAAATTTAATAAATAACAAAATAAAAAGAAAGAAAGAAAAGAAATGGAAGCTTCTTGAAGGAGAACTTACTCTTGAGTAGATATATAGTAAATCTTCGCCTGTGTGGATTTTGGGGGAGAATGCAGTGCTATACTGAGTTCCATGCCTTTGTTTGTATTTCACCTCATAAAGAAATTAAGTAATTGTACAAAATGTTAAACATGACCAAAGTCTAGTTTATCTCTCTCATTTACTGTGCCTTATTCATCTGTTAAGAAAGCTTACTTTTGGGTGTGCAAATAATAGGTACATACAACCATCAATTGTTAATGTGACGTCATTAGGGAAGTGAAAGTGGTATGCATATAATCTACAGGTATACTTTTCCTGTCTCAAAGCTGCCAATATGAAAGTAATCTTTTTAAAAAACAATTCACGTAGACGGCAGGTTCTACTCCATGTACAATCATGCAACCCAAAAGCTTTTAAAATTGAAATAGTTCTCCTTGGAGAACGGGGACTAAGAATACTGTCTTATATTACAAAGCTTTTGTAAAGATTACAGTAATTTATTTATTTACTTCATTTATAGATGATGTATGTAAAGCTCTTTAAATATGGAGTGCACCATCCTAAACAGCTTTACCAAGCTTTCAGAGTCCCGGGACTTCTTCTTCCTGGGGCTTGATGTTCAGCACAAAAAAGTGCAACCAGAGGGGATGGGCATTGACTTCATTGGAGGTCACTGACTTCAGTGGGCGTAGAAGAGCATAACTCTTCTTAGGATTGCACTGTGGAAGCACTAAGTAGTAGCATAAAGGTTTCTGCTTTTAGAAAAGGGAGTTCCTTTTGGTGCCACAGAAGACTGTGAGGAATATCTGGGCCTTTCCGCTATTTGTGTCTTTACTGCTGGTCTTCACTGATGCCTTATCCAGAGTTGCCAGGTTGGAGCACACTCCAAAGTGTCGGATCCTTTCTACTAAGGCCCACCTTAGCCTTCTCCCTGGAACTAGTCCAATGGTGGGGAGGAATGGGTATAATCGAGGCTTATCTATCATAAGAGACATGGTCCAAGCTAGTTGAGGCATGTGGTAGAGTACCTTTGGCCCATTGCCAAGTATTTAGGCACCTGCTTGATTCTTCTTAATCCTAGACTTCACCAGAGGGCATTGCCTCAGGACTTGGCAGGCAAAAGACAGCCTAGGCACAGTGGAGGAGGAGGAGAGGAGGAGATTGGATTTATACCCCACCCTTCGCTACACAAAGGGTGTCTCAGAGCGGCTTACAAACTCCTTTCCCTTCCCCTCCCCACAACAGACACCCTGTGAGGTAGGTGGGGCTGAGAGAGCTCTGACAGAAACTGCTCTTTTTTCAAGAACAGCTGTGCCAGAACTATGGCTTGCCCAAGGTCATCCAGCAGGTGCAAGTGGAGGAGAGGGGAATCAAATCCCGTTCTCCCAGATTAGAGTCCGCACATATGGTGCCATGTGGGGTTCACAGGGGCCCTGGACACTCTTCCAAAGAGTCCTCCTGCTCCCCTACTTTGCGGCCTTTAGAGCGGAACAAGGAACCAAGGCCACAGTGATACCTGCAGGCTGCTGAAGGCATGTCTTCCCAGCTTCGGTATTTCCAGGTATGCGCAGGGAAAGAGAACAGCTCTGCAGGGGCAGGATTAGAAGAGGTGATAACTTTGGCTGGCCTGATTCCTGGGCACAGTCAGCCCCTGAGAGAGGAAAAGGAGGACAGGAGAGCAGGCCATTCAGGCATCCTGCCTCCAGTGACCAGGCCCATCCCAGTTTCATGAGGTGCGATCAGAAGACTGATGTCTTGAGCACTGGCCAAGCAGCTCAATGATGCAGCGTGCCCTGGCAGAGTGTCTCGAATTTACGTCACCACAGAAGAAAAGTCAAAAGGTACACAACAGCAAGTGACCTTCCAGGGTAGAGCTCAGGAAGTCAAAGCCTTTTTCTTTTGTCCTTCACCCTCCTCGCGTCCTGTCCCTTTCTGGAGAACAGGAATTCGCAGTAAGGAAATTCCCAAGGGATTTCTGTTCCTCTATCCCAGTAATCTCTAGTGCTTCTTGAAAGCTATTTGGCACTCAGCACTCTCTAATCTAATGAAGTCTGCCCCCATTTTAAGGCTGCTCTAAGTGTGAACTTCAGAGTTTTTCCAGCATGCCCTAAAGAAAGCGCTGTTATCACCTGCCCGTCCCCTCAGGTTGCTTTTTTTGTGTTGAACATCAAGCCCCATGGAGAAGAGCCTTGGGACTCTGAAAGCTTGGTCATTGTTGTATGTCATCGGGGAACTATTTTGTTGTTAACCTGATCTGGATAGCCCAGGCTAGCCTGATCTCATCAGATCTCGGAAGCTAAGCAAAGCTAGTATTTGGATGGGAGACCTCCAAGGAATACCAGGGTCATGGCCTGGAGGCAGGCAATGGAAAACCACCTCTCAATGCCTCTTGCCTTGAAAACGTACGGGGCCACTATAGCTCATGTGTGACTTGATGGCAAAAAAAAAAAATCTGTTCAGGGAATCTTGTGTGTCTGTGACTGGACCAACTAACCTACAATCCTTGTTTGAGTAAAATATTCTTATTAGAGTCAACAAATAAGGGTTAGCATTGATGTTATAAAATTCTTCCAGAGTCTTTCTTTGTTGGTAGAGTCAAAAACAGCCCTGAAGGTTTTTAGAAAGATGTGAACAACTTCATTTTTAAAAACAAATTAAATAAAAGTGGTCTGATATTTTACACAAAGGTGCAGGACCAGCATGTAACATTACTCAATGTAGCTTCAGCATAACCAGGAGATGTATGCATATTATTTTACTATGATTGGTATGCAGGCTCATTTTAGATCTCTTTTTTTGAACATTGGCTATGAGGATCCCAGCTGGAAAGCAGCCAGTTTGTGTTAGTTGAATCACTAAACTAATCACTGGGCTTCGTTCCTAGATGTTGTGCTTATTAGACCTCTGCCGGTATGAAATTTGAGGGTTGATTCGGCACTACAGATGTAAAATGTTTCTCAGAGTGGCCCAAATGGAATTCCGGGAGTTGTAGATCTTCGTCGTGGTCTCTGTGCACCACACCTGTGGGAACAGGCCCCTGCACGGGCCCCGATTCAGGAAACTTCTATCAAGCTCGAAAGGATCCAGAGCCCTGCCTCCGAGCATGCACAGGGACTCCAACCGCGCATGCCCAGAGAGTGGGGCCTCAGTATCCCACCAGTTCCTTCTGACCGCCGATAAACAAACCGCCAAAGCAGCTGACAGCACTGGGGAAGGAGGGCGGGTGGTGTGAATGCATAGATGACCGCTCGAAGATCATCAGTTACAGGTAAGCAACCTGTTTATCTTCGTTGTGGTCTCTATGCATCACACCTATGGGAGATTAGCAAGCTCAGGCCTACCTGGAGGAGGGTGCTGGCAGCATCTCAGGAGACCACAGACTGCAGAACTGATCGGCCCAAGACTGAACGACGTTGTGCACGCACATCCACGGCATAGTGCTTGATGAATGTATTCGGGGTAGCCCACGAAGCCGCTTGACATATGTCTTGAAGGGGCACCCCCTTGAGGAAGGCCATGGAAGTTGATATCACACGGGTAGAGTCCCTGCGCATGCTCGGAGGCGGGGCTCCGGGTCCTTTCGAGCTTGATAGAAGTTTCCCGAACCCATAGGTGTGAATGCATAGATGACCACTCGAAGATCATCAGTTACAGGTAAGCAACCTGTTGTTTTTCTGAAGATACTGGGAGGGACACCACCAACCCCTGTTCACTCATGGATCTTTAGTCCTTGGGATGAGTCTGTGATACCCAAATCCTGTTCTAAAGGTTTTTTTGAAATACGGTGTGAATTTTGGTGAAATCGGCTGTGAGGGAGGGGGCAGTCAGGGCAAAAGAAAATGTGCTGGGCGCTGAGAGGAGAGGAGACGTGACTCCATGAAGGCTACTCCAGTGCGCTTTTTCTGTCATGTCATCCTAGACTACAAACGAGCCCGTCACGAGATAAAGAAGAAATCGTCTGACACGCTGAAGCTGCAGAAGAAAGCCCGCAAAGGTAATATGGCTCTCTTTGCTTGACAAGCACTTCCACTGATCTGCTCACATTTGACTGGGGAGGGGGTAGCGTTCCCAGAGCAGGCAGAATGTCTGTGGAGATCTCCTATCCCCTGCCCTGTGTCGGGAGACACCCCACTGCATCTGGTGTGGGTGGACAAAGGAAGTTTCTGGTCTCACAATCTCTATAAGGCAAAGCTGGATTAATTGATCTGTTAAATGAACTGTCATTTAGGGTCTTTGTCAGGCAAGAGAGGGGAAAGTCTGCATGAGTTTCTTACAACATTGTCATCATCTGGGAATCAGCAGCCCTAAAAATCCCCTCAGGGCTGTTTCCCTGTCTGGTGAAAGAGCAGTGCCCATGGCTGGTGACATAGTGTAAATCCATGTAGAATCACAGAACACTGAAGCTTCACATTTGTTTAAAAGCAAGTTTCTGGCTCTTACAGAGATGAAACTGCACTTTAAAGAGTGTGGGCAGTGCCTGCTGAAAATCTCAGGAGCCGAGGAGGAAGCTGAATAATAAAAAGATTAAGGCTCCCAGAATTTGACCTTTTTTAATGCAGAATTTGTGTGTACATACAGGAAAGTCTAGTTGCCTCTAGATTCTGTGGGGTGGTCTGCCTTTGTCTTGGGGGTTGGGAACAGCTGTCTTTGTGGCCATGTATATGATTGTTGCTTGTGACTTCCTGGCATTTTGTAATGGTGGTCCATATAAATCCTGGTTTTGTGGACCCTGCCTTTGGCTGGTCCTTAGAGTCCTGTCTTCCTATGTCTATGGCCATGAAATGGGATAGTTGGGAATCGTTATTTTCTATCATGGAAGTGCAAAGTGCCAGGCACTAACAGAAGAAGGAAGATGGCTTGTAAGCCAGAGACCAGCCCCAGTGCCCTTTGTGCCAGTCAGTCCAGAGAACAGATTTCAGGCACTGATATATATATATTTTGCATAAGGAAAGGCTGTGTTCCTAAAGAACTTGTGGCACTTTGCACGGCTGAGTAATAACAACCTTGTTGCTCCCGCAGCGAACCCACCAAGGCCCTGACTAAATGTGCAAGAGGACACCTCTGGTTGATTCTAGGAAAAGGCCATGTTGTGGCATTCAGAATTTCCCTTCTCATTGCTCCGCTTTGCCCACTGCCCCTTGCAAGGCACAGAAACTGAGTACAAGGATGGAATGTCATGTCACTAGCCCTTGGGGACAGGATGCGGGATGGCCATAGCTCCATCATCCCCATAAAGCTCAGATCATTTCTGAGGGGCCAGATGGTTGGGGTTTCCAACTCTAGAGAACCTACTCCCTTGGCTGGCTCCTGCCCACGCCTGCCTAGCGAAGGACATTGCAGCTTACCACTGCACTCTTCCCCACTTTATGCTTGGCCTGAGTGAAGAAGAAAAAAAGAGGAGGGATGATGATGGGGGGAGGGAAGTCTTACTTGGTGGGTGGGGTTGTGGCTCCCAGTTTGGGGTCAGATGATGACTTACCCTACATCAGCCTGTCTTTCACACATTCTTCTTCTTCTTCTTCTCTCTCTCTCTCTCTCTGCCTCGTTCTCTTCTCCCCTCCTTTCCACATCCTTCCTGTAGAACTTCTTGGTAAGTCAGATGTTGCCAACCTAGCTTTATCAAGCCTCCTCGTCCACCCTTTCATAGCCTTTTGCTTCACTTATCTGTAAATCTAGGTTGGGCTTGAAATGAAACCAAACCTCTGAGCAACAAGTAGGTGGGATGGTCATTTTGAAGCTGAACTAAGGGCTGCAGGCTAGATGGTGTTTGCTCCTTGCTCTCAGCTCCAGTGCTGGAGGGTAAGCCAGCCTCCTGTTGAAAATCACAGTGCGCCAAACTGGAGTGTGCTGGGTGCAGACAGGGGAAGTGGTAGGAAGCCAAAAGTCAAGCATTTCTGCAGGGTTTCAAACTGCTCCCTATTTCCTCAGTAGCACTGCCAACAACCCAGTGATCATATTTTGCAAGTGGGGGGTGAAAGCCAAGAGCCAACCTGTAGAGTTAGCTTCTAAAATCCGAGAAACGGTTGCTCAGGCTTCTTTCTTTCCAGCCTGCTGGCAACTGAGCATAGTGTACACTGTGCTACACTTCCCCCCCCCACACACACACGTCCCGACCAGCCTGATCACTGTGGTAAACTAGGCCAAGAGTGCCTCAACTATATGCTCTCCTGGAGACAGTATGCCTCCGTCTACATTTCTGAGTGGAAGCAACTTAGCCAGCAACTTAGCCATTCCCACTTGCCACAGTTGCAGGAGGCGTTAAAGAAGTGACATTATCATGCGTGGAGAGGGGCCCTGTCTGAGGACTGGAGCATCTGCTTTGTATTGCGGGAGGTCCCCGGTTCAGTCCATGGCATCGCCAGCTAAAAAAGGATCAGGTAGCAGATGATGCGAAAGATCTCTGCCTGAGACCCCGTCAGTCTGAGTAGACCTGGCTGTTTCTGATAGACCAATGGGTAACTCAGTAGGCGGCCAAGCGTTTCTTTGAGCAATTTTATCCTGCCCTGCTTCCAGGGAGTTTGGTGCAGCACAGACACGATTCTCTTCCCTTTCACGCTCTCAGCAGCACTCCTGCGAGGTAGGCGAGTCTGAGAGTGTGGCTCACGGTGAGATTCATGGCAGAGAGGCCCTGCTCTGCTACCTTGACCACTACCCCACACCGGCTGTCGCTAAAATTGTAAATGGAGGGGGAGTGTCTTGATCACCTCTTGACTAGTCAATGTGGTATCGTTGATGTTGTCCATCATGCAGGAAGACCACAGGTGGAGTGAGGAAAAAATATTCTCCCACCCACATGAGATGATTGTTGACATCCTAGATACAGAGTAGTCCTACCGTATTTACTCAAAAGGATGGTGATCCTGAATGTAATATGATTCTCCCCTTTAAAAATGTTATACTCAAAAACACTTTTATTATTGGACATAACTGTAACTCGAGCACAAATTTAAGATTGCACACTATTTTTTTACAACGTTATCTGGCAAGAAAACCTGGTTTGAATAAATACAGCAGATCTTTTAAAGTTTGGATTAAGACTGCCCTGTGGAGGCTCAAGAGGGCCTCCTTCTGTTCCCCTCTTTCTCCAAAATTCTTGCAGTGGCATCTCTCTGGTTTCTAAGAGCTGCACCCAGATGGCCCCCCTGGCTGTCAGATGGGCTGCCGCCACTCTGAAAGCAGGCTCTCCCAGCCAGTTATTTCTCTTACGTGTTCGTATGCGGACACTGCTATGAAAGGGAGGGGAGACAGGCATTTAAAAGCCCCTGGGTTTCAGTAGGGTTTCATTTCAGGCCTTATCTACACCATCACTGGTCCCCTATTCCCATATCTTTTCTGTGGCTCTGCTGTACCTCTCCAGGATGGCTACGGGGCAGATACTGAGATCCACCTTCCCCAAGGCTCAGGCCATTCCTAGTGGGTGCTGGATACTGAGCTGCAGGAGGGGTCCACCTTGGAACAGGGCCGTGCTTCTTCCCCTAGGCTGGGCCATTCCTCCGTCTCAAAGCTGCTGTTTGTGCCATCGTTCCCTTTTCGTTGGTTTGCAGCTGTCAAGCAGAGCACCAGGATCTCAGCCTGATCTCCCCGTCATCCTGGGCCCCACGGTCTCAGCGGCTTGTTTTTGTTTTCCTTGACTTTTCCATTAAAAAAAATTTCACTGCTCTCCCAGTTCTTCACTTTTCTTTCCCATGCTGGAGATTTCACCCACCTGGCTGCTCAAGTCATCTTGCTTTACCTTCTTTGCATGTGGCATTGCGGTGGTGGTGGCAGGGGCCTCTGAATGACAGCAGCACCCACCCTTGGCTTCCTGGCATGGTTGTGCAAAGAGATATCTCCAGTGCAGGGATGCAGAACGCTGTATCCATCAGACTGAGCCCTGGATCGCCACCCAGCACTTGCGTTTTGCATTGCCCATAAGCAGTTTGTGTTTGTTAGTATGAAGGAGTCCAGGGGAAGCCCTGGTCTTCAGGGTGCTCCTTGGCTTGTATGATTTTGCAGAATTTTTGGAGTGTGTGTCCGTGAGAGCCTGTACAAACATAATTTCCCTGTTGCCCCTGGATTCCTGATCCCGCATTGCTCGGAATACATTCCACACTCTTCCAAGCAACTGAGCCACCTAAATCTCTGCCTCGTTACTTCGTCCTCCCCACTCTGTGCTTCTTGTTCTCTAGCAAAAGGTGAATAAAATTCCCTCTTGGTCCAAATTCTGCACTGAGTATAACTCTTAAGGGTTGTACCTGGGATGAATTTGAACGTATCACAAATAGGATGGAAATCATGTTCCCTCTAAGGTGTGGAGTCTTGTGAGCAAAAATTCTACTTTGTGAGCTACTGGCATTAAAGTTGTGAGCAAGCGATTTGGCTACTACATAAATTAGCTTGCTCTGGAGCCATCCTTCCTGAGCTGAGACAAAAATGTGTGAGCTGGAGGCTAAAAAATGGTGAGCGAGCTCACAGTAACTCAGCTTAGAGGGAACACTGGATGGGATGTTGGAAGACGGTGGTATATTCCAGCTATTACAGGTTTGTGGGCAATTCAGAAAACGGGGGAGGGGGTGAAGAGGAGGCCAGCAACAGCACGGGAGCCGAGCATCTCCGCTCTTTCCTCTGGCTGGGAAATGATCTTGTGCTGCATCCACATGGGTAAACCGAATTCTTCTAGCTGAGTGACGATAAAAGGCAAGAGGGATTTTTTTTAAAGGCATAATGCAGAGAAAACTGTTGACCTACATATAGAGGCGGATATCTGTCATAGAACATCTTACACCATCCGGAGGCAGTGTAAACTTTGACTGCAGAACGGATTCTTAAGGCCTTGGTTGATCACAGTAACATTTCTCAGTGCAGGCAATACCACTGTAAGCACCACAAATAGAAAACTGCAGACCTGTCAGCGGGAAAATATGTCTGTCAATGTTCAAAACAATTCTAGACATCTTCACAATGTTTTACATTAATAAGAAACTGATATGTTGACCTCAAATACCTCAGACACCCAAAGCAGCTTCCTGGGAGCTCTGGAAGGTAAAATGCATTAAAATTACTCTCTTGTGGCAGCCATCCTGAATTTTTTGCCTCACAGGTTTTCCTTGTGTTTCTCGGAAGGGCCACCCAGCCCAGTAAATTTTGCCCACTTTCCCAAGATATCAAAACTGCTATCATACTGTTGTTCCTGTAATTTGGTCTTAGAGGCCTGTAGTACTTTTGCCTCAGTTAGAGAGAATACAAAAGCTACAGGGTTTTTTTTATGTCTGTGCTGCAGGCACAGAGAAGATTTCAGGTGTTTGTCAAGGGGTGAGGGGACAAACTGCAGGACTTACAAAGGGAAGAAAGGCATGAGTCACAGTTGACCCAAGATTATAAGACAAATTGACTGGAGCGAGTGTCTCTCTGGCAGACACGGGGGAAAGGGGAGATGGCATTATGGAGTGGGGGGGTTCAGTGGAAAGATTAGGTGCTTGATTTGGCAAGGTCAGTGGAACAACTAGGTGGAGGTGAATATTTGACAGCTTAGCAAAGCAAAGGAGGGAGAAAAGTCAAGAGGGGGAGAATTGCAGAAATTGATTTAACATAAGAACGTAAGAGAAGCCATGTTAGATCAGGCCAGTGGCCCATCCAGTCCAACGCTCTGTGACACACTGACCAAAATTCTAGACATTTGGAGACCCATTGGCATTGACGAAGTAGCTCAGACTCTGAGATGGCCTCCAACATGTGTGTGAGCAGAATAATGACATATTCAGCTGTATTACCTTGAATTATTATATCCCTAACTTAGCTGAGATACATACGCTTCCATGAGCATCAGTATAATGGCATCTTGTAACGGTCTGGGTAAAATCAATACCCTTGGTCATGATGTGACTTAAAAATATTCTGCCTTCCTGTTTGGTGGTCTTCAAATTTTATTTATTTACTTTATATCCCACTGTTCTCCCCAGTGGGGACCCAAAGCGGCTTACATTGTTCTCTGCTTGTGATCTATTTAGATCCTTGTTTTTGTGGCTACCATGCATGTAGCAAAGGGATCTGCACTATTTTCCCAACCTGAAAAAGTCTTCAAAAGGCTAAACAGCAGCTCTCCTCTCGTGTTGGGAAAATGGTGCTGGGGGATGTAGTGCTAATCCAAATAGAGCATGGGAGTTGAGGAGAACCTGCAACTCATGTCCGACTGTTAGGCGGGGGGGTCCCAGACCCGACTTGTGTACTTCTTGATGTGTGAATCAGACAGGGAATAAGTGTGTGAAAGGCAACATTGACTTCTCACAATGTCAAGTACAGAAGAAGGTTCAAAGTCACTAGAACTTTCACTATTGAGTGAGATTTGTGTGCCCTGTGAACAAAGTGTTTTCCTTTTTTTGAGCGGGAAATCTTGAACCCTTTTAAATCCTGCTGTGGTTCTAGTCTCTGTCACACACACACACACACACACACACACACACACACACACACACACACACGGAATAAAGGTCACTACAGTTTTGTGAGGCTGCCACAGAGTTTCTGTGACAGAAATCCGTTCCTCAGATTTCCTGAGAGACAAAGTCATACCTCAGGTTAAGTCATACCACCCAGCCTTTCTTCTGTGATGACTGTGCTTGGTTTCTCCATTCGTTTCAGATCTCAGAAGACCCAAATGTCACCAGGGAAAGTGAATTAAAACCTAGGAAGGTGTCTTTTGCCTTTTGAGCGGAGGCATTTCCTTCCCCACTCCCACCCCATTCCCAAGAAGATGTCTTCATGTTCCCCAATGCTGTCAGCAGTATCCGTGTCCATTCAAGGAAGACCTTTCAAAGATGCGGGCCTTTAGGACAGGTGTTGGGACTTGTGGGTGAAGAGGGCGTGATGTGTTGGCCTTGCTCTTACAGGGAAGGGGGATCTGCAGCCACAGCTGGACAATGCTCTCCAGGACGTCAGCGATATGTATCTCCTCTTGGAAGAGACGGAAAAACAGGCTGTCCGCAAGGCCCTTGTTGAGGAGCGTGGCCGATTCTGCACCTTCATCGCTTACTTGCAACCTGTGGTGGTACGTGGCTGCCTCCTCTGCCCACACAAAACTAAACTGGCTGTTCCTTTTTTTTTAATGTGAGCCCCCCTTTCCTTCCCCTGCAGGTTGTAGCACACTGATTTTCTTCGCAAGTGTATAAACAAAGGTATCAGGGCAAATGGTGATGTTAATTCACAGGTCAATTTGTGAACTTGAATCCAGAAGTCTGTCAGCTGCAATTTCCAAGGCAGCTTACCCCTGGTAGATCAACCCCATTTAAAATATTACAGCATAGCTTCCAGCAAAATTGATATCCATTACAAAACAAAGAAATTGCCTGAGCACAAAAAAAAAATCAGCAAAATGGCAGAATGAACGGGGATGTTTTGATCAGGTGCCGAAACCCAGAAAGACTAGGCTCCAAGTGAGCAATTCTAGGTTGGGGGTTCCAGAGGGGAAGTGCCACCGTGGAGAAGCCCCTCCCCGTAGCTACCCCACTGTATTTTCAAGGGAGGGGGGCACTCAAAAGGAGAGCCTTTGCCAAAGAGCTGAACTAGGGAAGTTCTCCTTTAACTATCCTGGACCCAAACCTTTTTAGGGCTTCAAGCTGTGCTCCAGTGTGTAGCTCGTATAATGCAGGCAAGATGCGTTTACAGTGGTTTGTGCTGGTCAGCAGTCTCACTGCTGCATTTTGCGCTGATGGAAGCTCCCGAGCTGCAGTTGGGCAAAGTAAGCATGTTCGTGCATGCGTTGAGGTATTTACATAATTATTCCTGCGCCTACAGCTCAGCGTTGCTTTGGGACACAATACTCATTTTGCACACAGTGTGGCCTGTTCATTATATTGCCCGAGCATCCACTACAGAACTGGCCGAGAACTCAGCTCCTTGGGAACAAGGGAAGCCGAAGCTGTCAGATCCAGATAAGGGATAGAAGAACCCCAGAAGGCAGCTCAGCAGAGTGTTTGAGCTGGATTTTTTATTTGTTTTTGGCTGCTGTGAGTAAATTTAAATTTTGCACACACACACACACACACACCAGCTAACTAAGCTGAGCAGCATAACATAAGCACATTAAATGATGAAGAGTTGATGACGTTAAATGTTATTTAAGCATCACACTGTTGTATTGTACAGTAGTTAATCTGCACTGAAGACTCCCCCCCCCCCACAATTCCTGATTAGCTTAGAAACACACATCAGGCACGGCTGCCTGCCTGCTGGTCTTCCATTTCCTCTCCTTCACAGCCGTGTCCCTGCTTTGGGCTGCTGACAGGCAGCAGAAGGGAAGCTCTTGCTTGTGGGAATATCGCCCAGTGTGAGCATGCTACACTTCCCTCTGTGGAGGCAAGGGTCACTGAGAGTGACGTCGCTGAGGCAGGTGTCCCTTAGAGTTTTGGCACCCACCCTGACCTGGATAGCCCAGGCAAGCCCGATCTCATCAGATCTTGGAAGCTAAGCAGGGCCGAACCTGGCGAGTACTTGGATGGGAGATCTCCAAGGGATACCAGGGCTGGGATGCAGAGGCAGGCAATAGTAAACCACCACTCTGAAATGTCCAAGCCCCACTAGGGTTCCCCAGCAGTCAACCATGACTTCCAGGCACCACACACACACACAATACTCACCAAAAAAAGAGTTTTGGCACCCCTGGCAGCTGCCTGGTTTACCTGTGTAGCTGGACTGGCCCTGGTTGCTCTTTGCGTTTCATCCCCCTGCAATCCTGATGGCTGCTTCCCCCAAGCAGCAAGAGCGGGAGAGCTGGAACTAGCCAGATACCCCACATCGACAGGCCTCTGTGATTCAGTAAAAACGAACATTACTTTTTCCCATTGGGGAGCAAATGTCTGTTTCTCTCCTTGGTCTTTTGCAGAATGGAGAGATCACCATGCTGGGAGAGATCACCCACCTGCAGGGCATTATTGATGACCTGGTGGTGCTGACCGCAGAGCCTCACAAGCTGCCCCCAGCCAGTGAGCAGGTGAGAAGGCACAAGGAGGGGGGCAATGGGAAGGAGTGGCGGGGGTGGGGGCCAGGACAGCCACCTCATTCAGCAGTTCCTAGGCAGCCAAAGCCCAGGATTTTCTGAACCGAGATGTGAGGCACTCTTCTAGGTTTGTTGCCGGAGAGTGCAGAAGCACGTTCCCCCCCAAGGTATCTGCCCACTGCATTTCTGTATGAGAATGGGTCTGCCTCTCCACTGGAAGGCGGCATGTCCAGACCAGTGATGCTCCCTCTAAGCTGTGAAGTTTGGTGAGCAGAAATTCTACTTTGTGAGCTACTGGCATGAAAGTTGCGAGTGAGCGATTTGGCTACTGCATAAATTAGTTTGCTCTGGAGCCCTCCTTCCTGAGCCGAGACAAAAATGTGTGAGCCGGAGGCTAAAAGACTGTGAGCGAGCTCACACTAACTCAGCTTAGAGGGAACACTGACTGTTGTGTGAATAATTGTGAGTTGGAAATGATTGAATAATCCAGTCACACCTGATGCCAGATTGTAATCCCAGATAATACATACCCCCATCGTGAGCTTTAGCACCTGTCCCCCGGGAAAACTTTAGTAGGGGCCAATGTTCCCTCTAAGCTGTGGAGTCTTGTGAGCAAGAATTCTACTTTGTGAGCTACTGGCATTAGAGTTGTGAGTGAGCGATTTGGCTACCGCATAAATTCGTTTGCTCTGGAGCCGTCCTTCCTGAGCTAAGACAAAAATGTGTGAGCCGGAGGCTCAAAAACTGTGAGCTAGCTCACACTAACTCAGCTTAGAGGGAACACTGGTAGGGGCCCGTATCCTGACTGGCCGACATCTGATCTTTAGAAGCAGCAGCCTCTGATGAACATAGGAGGGGCTGGGAATCAGAAGGGCCCTTTCAGGTGGTTTTTAAATTAGCCTTTCAGCACCGCTCCCCGTTGTCAAAAATGTTTTCACAGTGGGTACCTGTTCTCCCAAGCCATGCCAACTGAGCCTAAACAATGGTTTAGTGGCTACCCACACATTGTGCACAATTGCGCCTATTTTGCCCCCTGAAAAGCATCAGAGGGACCGAGTGAGAATGACAGCAGTGTTCTGGATGGGCCTGTGGCCTGGCTGGGAGCCACGTGGCTTCATCCGTCCTTCCCTGTGTCATTATCAGAGGTCCCTGTCCTCATGTATCAGCCCCATCTGCTGCTCCTTCTGACTTCTGCCTCTGTGTGGCAGAAGTACCACACAGCTCAGGGCCGAGTTTATTTGTGAGAGACTCTGAGCAGAACTGTGGGGAGATTGGCCCTTTCCATGTATACACAGCTTTTCTGACTAGGATTGGCTCAGAGGGTCACTGTTTACCCCTCTGGGAGATATTACGTGTGGTCATCGAGACTCACAAGTTTCCTCAGTGGGGCAAATAGTGGATCCCTGAGGCCATTTCAGATCAGCACCATGGTCCTGATCCCAGTCAGGCCCCACGTGCACCTGCAAATTAAGTTATGAGCGTGTGTGATTAGGCGGCCCTGTAACAGCCATGTGGGTGACAGAAAGACTATATATATATATATATATATATATACACACACACACACACACGCCAGTGTGGCATAGTGGTTGGACTAGGATCTGGGAGACCCAGGTTCGAATCCCCACTCTGCCATGGATGGGTGAGGTTGGGCCAGTCCCACACTCTCGGCCAAACCTACCTCACAGGGTTGTTATGAGGAGAAAATGGATAGAGGAGAACAAAGTAAGCCACTTTGGGTCCCTGCTGGGGAGAAAGGCAGGGTAAAAATGAAGCTGATTAAAAAGATAAATAAGTCTGCCATCTGGAATCTCTCACAGGTGATCAAAGATCTGAAGGGCTCCGATTACAGTTGGTCTTACCAGACTCCGCCATCATCTCCTAGCAGTTCTGGGTCTCGCAAGTCTAGCATGTGCAGGTATGTTTGATACAACTGGCAGGAAAGTGATACGACCTGTAACTCAAGAGAAGGGAATGCAGAATGGAAACCCTAGAGAGAGGAGAGCTTGCAGCCGCTTTGTGGGTGATTGAGGGTGCTTTCTGTGGCCCTGTGGTGACACCCCATGACCTTATCCCGAGGGTGCTGTCTTCAGCTGTCTCTCCCAGGTGAAAAGGCCATCTCCTGGTTGAGTTACCATGTGATGATGAGAGCTTCCTGTCTGACCAACTGTGGCTTGATTCAAACATCACCCTGCTGGGGTGCAAGATCCTACCTGTGTTAACTTTGTGCACACCCAACATTTCCTTCAGACTGGGCCGTGTTGGCAACCCAGTAAAATTCCCACCTGAGCAAAGGATCTCTGGCCTGTTGTCATTGCATGTTTAGCGGATGAAAGCCTGGTTTAAATGAGCCACTGAGCTTGGGTGGCTTCCTGCAAGGAAGCCCTTCTTTCTCACCAGCATCTCCTTTTGACTGGACCTGTTTTGTGACAGTGCCAGTCATGTGGTGGGGGATGGAAGAAGGCAAACCTGGGCTTCAGGTTCTCTTGGATTTAGGATTGCAGCTTTGTGTCCCACAGAACTGTTTTGCAAGGGAGCAAGAACTTGAAGCTACTCCCTGAGAACCCTTTTATGCTTGGCGTGCATTTTTTTCTGGCCCCAGGAGGTGGTGCGAGGTTTATGAATCATTTGCTGTAGGTTGCCTGCTGGGGAAGAGGACTGCAGTAGAGGTCAAACGCTTTGTAATCACTGCAATAATTAAATGTGCTTAGATTCTCAGCTGAGCTAGAACAATAAGCAATCTGAATGGCGTTTGCAAGCCCTGAGGACTGGCTGGCCTTGAAACGGGATGGCAAGAGGTGTACCCACCCCCTCTCATCCCCACCCCCTTCCTTTCCTGGCCCTCTTCCCCCCCTTTTTCTCCTCCCATACACAAATGTGTGTGGTGGATCTTTTTTTTTTTTTTAAGTAGTCCTTTCCTTTCCTTCCTTCTGCATTTCCTGCACTTCTCTCCGCATACTTTGGTCTTTCCTGCTTTTTAAAAAATTACTACAAATAAAATTTTTAATGAGCCACTGCCTTACCTGTCCTATAGTAACACAAGGTTCAGGAGAACACCACCGTCAGACAGGAACATCTTCCCTCACCATCATGTTACGATGCAGACCAGTCATGATTCACAATTTTTTTAAAAAAGAAATTCACACATCAGTTCAACACGGGGGGGGGGGATAAATTATCTTGTCTAAAATAATCTTAGGAAGAATGTGGTCTGCTTACTATTGAGGCAATTCTGGGAGTGCCACACAATACTGAAAAGACACGGTTATCATTGGAGAAGAGGCCCGCAGAGCCACAAGGTTGCAGATGTGATGAGTGGAGAGGGATTTGGTCTTCTCTGCTGGCCTGCTCTCACCTTCAGTTTCTCCCTATCTTCTTCTCCCCCCACCCTTTTAGTAGTGTTAATAGTGCGGTGGGTAGTGCCTCCCCCCCTCCCCGGTTCGCCAATAAACATACTCACCAAATTCCATCTGTCACTCCCACAGCCTGGCACAGCCTGTGAACGCCAACACCCGCCTGTCCAGTGTCTCATCACATGACTCCGGCTTCATTTCCCAAGATGCCATGTTCTCCAAGCCGCCTTCGCCAATGCCCTCGGATATCACCAGTCAGGTAAATTCCTTGGGAAGACAATGTAAAGGAACAGGAATTGTAGACCGGAGGAAGCTTGCCCTTCCCTGTCAACACCAACCCCACAGTTCTCCTTCAGTGGGGGAAGTCATCCAAACTGGTTAGGCCACACCTCCTCTCGCTCCAGGCAGGGCTATGCAAATTTGTGTAGACTGTATTGGCTCAAAGTGAGGCTGACCCTCCAGTTTCAGTAGCCCTGCCGCTCCAGCAGGACGCTTGAGCCTCGCTCTGCTTTCTTGGAGACTCTTGCCTGATATGGAAGATGGAAAAGCCTTGAAGAAAGGCCCCATCATTGGTCTCAAAAAAGAAAAAATACACCTTTAAGACAAGCCTCTCCCGCCTGAGGTTCCAGGCACCAGAGACAGTGCAGATTAGGCTAAAGGATTTTCTGTCTGTGTCTCGCAGCTCTGCCTTTAGGTAAAAATGTCTCAAGCCATGTATGTGAGAGATATATGAAGTGCAAGGCCTAGGACCGCCAAAGCATGTTACGACCCACTACACCAGATCTGCAGTAACATAACAACCTAGTGGAAGAAAGCGTAGAGTCGCATCCTGGTCCACCTTTTACACCTGTGGGACCAGTTAAAATCAGCAGAGGTTTCATCTGGTAGAAAGGTGTGCAGCATAGTGATAGAACAGATAAAAATAAGAATGAGGATCCTGCCCAGGTTGTAGCTTGGGCATATATCCAGTTTGGATGTCTTCCCTCACTGAAGGAGAATGAAACATTGGAACTTACCTGAAGGTTTCTTCTCTTCAGTGGGGCGAAGTCCTCCACATCCCACCCAAAATAAAATAAAACAGAATAAAATCTAGTCAGGCGTAAAATCTGTTATGGAGCTGGGCTAGACTAAGACTGGAGGGTCAGCCTCCCTCTGAGCCAATACCGTCTACACAAATTTGCATAGCCCTGCCTGGAGCGAGAGGAGTCTGAATGACTTCGCCCCACTGAAGAGAAGAAACCTTCAGGTGAGTTCCAATGTTTCGTTCCTCTTCTGCTGCCACCCCAAATCCAGCGTCTAAAGAAAAGCTTTCAGGGCAGCAGCACAGGGCAAGTGACAGATACTCTGAGTCACCTGCCCACATCCATTTAATTCCCCCCACACCACCATTGTTTAGGAAGAATGAAATGAGCTGGTAGACGTGGAGGCTGGCCATGCGGAACACTGAGTCTTTCCTTCTTTGGTCCTGCAGAGTTTGTGCTGAAATGTTGCAGGGTGGCCTCTCATCTGCCTGAGGTGTCTGTTTTGGGGTGGGATGATTTATATCCCAGAGAGACCGCCTTACTGTCTTGGGGCCCCACTGGGAGCCAGACCCAGGGGGCTTGGATCAGAGACTGGTTTTTTGGAGAGGGAAGAGTCCCTTATTATGCCAGTCTTCTGTCTTTGAAAACAGATGCATTAGCAGTGGAAGAAGGAATGGGGGGGGAGAGTGAGGCAGAAGAGCTGCCGTTCTGTGTATTTGAGACTCGAGTGTAGTTAAGGGCTTTCCTTGTTACTGAGACAGGGTCTTGTGGGCAACAGAGTTCCTATCCCTGAACGGATAAGAGGCCTTGCCCAGAGTGGGAGGGGGTTCCCTCCCAGGGAGCAGAGCTGGTGTGAGGCGGCTGCAGTTGGAGGGATCCCATAAGAACATAAGAGACGCCAATGTTGGATCAGGCCAAAGGCCCATCCAGTCCAACACTCTGTATCACACAGTGGCCAGAAAGACCAGTGCCATCAGGAGGTCCACCAGTGGGGCCAGGACATTAGAAGCCCTCCCACCGTTGACCCCCCCCCAGCACCAAGAAGACAGAGCATCACTTGCCCCAGAGCCCCTATCTATACCTTGTGGCTAATAGCCACTGATGGACCTCTGCTCCATATGCTTATCTAATTCCCTTTTGAAGCCGTCCATGCTTGTAGCCACCACCACTTCCTGTGGCAGTGAATTCCACTTTGGGTGAAGAAGTACTTCCTTTTATCCGTTCTAACCCGACCGCTCAGCAATTTCATTGAGTGCCCACAAGTT